TCCTTTCATCATGTGGGGCCAGGGGGTCAGATTGTTAGGTTTGGTGGCAAGCACCCTTATTGGCTGAGCCATCTCACTGGCCCTAATCATCACCCATGTGAAGCAGCTTCTGTTCAGTCCGGTAAGTCATTTGTCTTTCTAGCCTGGCGAGATGCCCAAAGCACAAAGCTTGATGCATGGCAGAAAATAACTGACAGAACATTTTGCCTTCTATTTTCAAGCACTTCAAACATTTCTTTCTTTAAAAATAAGAGTCTTGCAAATACACTTTTGGAGTCCTTCATATCTATACATAACTACGTTTCCATGATAGAGTGTTTGTCCCACATCCACAGGCATTGGGTTTGACCACTAACATCATAAAAGCTAAGGAACAAAATTACAAAGACTTCTTGACCAACTAATTCATTTTTGTTTAAGCTTTTTAAATTAAGATAACAGCAAACATTATATTGAGACTTCAAAAATCTATAAAAGGGAACTTATTATTCAGCAGTAACACAGTTCATAAGTCCAAGTGCCCAACATGTCCTGAGAGCCACTCACTTAGTCAACACCAAATAAGCAACTTCCCTAATTCCAAATACCCACATCCTCATGAAAGACATTTCACAAACTCTGGAAAATCCCAACATCCTACCCTTTAATTAAAAATGTAAGGATCAATAAAGAATGAACAGAAATTATATCTAATAATTATGGTGAGCAAAAGTCAACACATTGAAAAAATTCCACAAAGACCCAATACACAAGCCTTTGGATTTCCTGTCACTTAAATTCAACCTGCAAACAAAATGATACAGGAAGAATGTTGGCAAGATCATGACCAGACCGTGGCATACCGAATCTCTGACTATTAAATTCTCTTTTCAGACAAAATTTTTTTCTTTAGTCACAGCTACCAACAGATACATAGTCAATGAAGAAGCAGGAAAAAGAAAAGAATGGGTTGATGGTCCATTACAATTCAACTACACTATTCAGACACATCCTGATTATGTAGGCAACGTGGCTGTTAAAGAAATTTCTGGCCAGGGACATAGCACAGTGGTAGTGGCCTTGCCTAGCAGACACAAGACCCTTGGTTCAATCCACCACAAAACAGACAAACAAAGCCATTGGGTCAACTTCATAATTCATCAACAGGCATACTTGAAGATAAAAATAAGTTGCCATGAAGTTTTAGAACCCTGAATTATTAATTTGGGGTTTCATTTATTTGGGGAGAAGCAGTAGTTTCCTCAAAAGACGTGGTCTTGCTAGTGAGAGTTTTAGACCCTAGAAGAGCATTAGAGGGGCAGAAGGGAAAGTAAGAGATACAGAAGTCATGAAATGATGTCAACTAACTAAATGACACTTACCACAATCTAGGGACCCTTTATACATATGTCATCCAGTTAATCTTCATAAGCACAATGGGACAGAGTGGAGGATGGCACCCACTTTACAGGTGAGGTATGTGAGTTACAGAGAAGGTTATGCCATCTGCAGGTTACATAGGTGTTGAGTGATGCCACTGGCATCTGAACCATGCAATAAAGATATCTGGTGAACCTTAAACATGGTCTCTACATTGTCATCCATCATCACGTCACATCCATTCTCTTACTGCTCTGTATAATATTGCAAGGCAGCTCACACCCTCTCTCCAGCTATGGCAGACCTTGTGGGACATCATGATATTAAATGTCAGAGGAGCTGAGATTCCACATGAGGTTTCAAACTCCAAGGACCAGTGGTCCTCAGGAGGCTTTCTTGGAGACCAGTGGTTAATTCCCTACATATGGATGAGGAAGGAGTCTGTTCTGTTTGTTGCAGGGAATTCCAGTCCCCGAGAATGCAAAGACTATGTGGGAGATCCCTGAACATTCTCACATTCAGGGACTCACCAGTCCTCATAATCCATAGCTCATGTTTCATATACATTTCCCCATAAACTATACACTCTTCCTGTACTGGGAACACATGATGTCCTGGGTTAGCGATGTCTAAGAGTTTGAAACAGTCAATGAAGAAACCAAAAGCCTTTACTCTTCTTTTATTTTGTGTGTGTGGTGTATACATGTGTGTGCATAGTTGCATGTGCTGTGCATCTGGGGAAGTCAGTTGTCCTACACTATCACTCTCTGCCTTATTCTTCCAAGACAGGGTCTCTCATTGGACCTCACTGAGTTTTCTGTTTTCCAGCTAGCCTGGCTGGCCAACCAGCCAGCTCCAGCAATCTTCCTGTCTCTGTTCCACCTCCAGTGCTGGGGTTACAAGTACTCTCAGTTACAAGGTTACAAGTACTTTACACATGGGTGCTGTGTATCTGTCTTAGTTACTGTCAACTTGACACAAACTTAGACACTCCTGGGAAGAGAGAATCTCAACTGAGAAATCGCCTCCATCAGACTGGTCTCTGGGCATTTTCTTGATCGCTGATTGATGTAGAAGGGACTAAGCCCACTGTGGGCAGCACCATCCCTAGGAAGGTGGACCTGGGTTGTATAAGAAAAGTAGCTGAACAAGCCTAGGACAGCAAGCCAGAAAGGAGCACTTCTCTGGGGTTTCTGCTTCAAGGTCCTGCCTTGAGTTTCCTGTCTTGACTTCCCTCAATAATGGACTATAACACAAAAGGTGTAATAAACTCTTTCCTCTCCGAGTTGCTTTTAGTTATAGTAGTTACCATACAAACAAAAGCAAATGCAGACAGGCTCTGAACTGGGCAAGCACTCTTATAGTCTGAGCTATTCCCTCGGCCTGCAACCCCAACAACCAGCAGGGGAACGTCTTCTGAGTGACTATTTACTAAGTGAATAAAGGAATCCATCAGGAGTGGCAGGTAGAAGCCCAGGCAGGGGGCTGGAGGGGAGACAGAGAAGAGGAAAACTTCGAGTCTAACCTATTAACTAATAGATTTTTTATTAAAATCTTAACATGACTGGGATGAATAAAGATGATTGTTTTTATTATTTAGCTCATCTTTAAAAATAGCAGTGCCACCAAAGTTTGATTCTGAAAGGGAACTGTGATCCCAGCACTGGAAGAGAACACGTGTCTCAGGAGACAGGATTTATGTCTTTGTCAGACTATTTTTTTCAAATTATACTCTCGGGAGCTCAGTCTGTGTTCCCTAGTTTCCAAAAGGTGGCTTTGTGAGGCAAGTTTTCTCCCAGTAATTAGAGGCATTTATCTTAGAGCTCACTTGGTTTCAGCAGTGAGGTCACAGGCTGCCAGCTCTATTGTTACTGACTCCTTCAATTACAGGCAATGGCATTTCACCTCCATGCAAACTATTAGTAAATTACCACTCCCCGCTCTGCATTCATTTGGGAAATCTGCTCAGCTTTGATGAGGAACGCAGGGAGACATCAGGACACTCGGTATTACCTTTAAACTGTGGACATATCAATTAAAACTCTGGCTCTGCTCCTTGCGTTGGGATTTAGTCTGCAGGGTTCATTTCTTTTATCATAGCACAAGGCAGAAATCAGTACTAGTAAGTGAGAAAAATACACAACAACCAAGCATACACACACACACCCACACATCATACATACACACACATCACACACACACCACACACATCATACATACACACACACCACACACACATCACACACACATCACACATACATACACATCACACACACACATATACACCAAACATACACATCACACACACACATATCACACATACACACACATCACAACACATATATCACACACACACACACACACACACACACACACACACACACACACACACACACACATAACACACACATACATACACACAGAGTCATAGAAAAACCCACCCCAATGTTCCCAAATCTTTCCTAGAACTCAATGTCTGCTTTAAGCCAAAACATAAATGACCTCTGGCATGGGACGTCATCTCCAGACCAGATTTACAACTCTGACTCAAAGCATAAATCACAATAAATATATCAAGACCGAGAGGATTACCATCCAAATGCTGCAGCTGTCTCTTTAGTTCTGAGGGCATCTTAGTTCAACCAAGAGACGGTTTACCACAAGCATCGTTAGGTCACAGGAGTTCTGTGAACATGCTTCAGTCACTACATAAAAACTGAAAAATGGGAAGGGTGTACATTGTTTTCACCAGATTCACAGCAGAGCATGCCAGCCCACTAGGCAAGAACTCTTAGTCTGGGGTGAAGGGGCAGAGGGCAGGACAGAAAAGTCTGATGCTGCCTACCACAGTCCAGCTGCCAGGAAGCCGCCGTGCCTTCTGTGGCATGAGGAATTTTTTTTTTTTGTGGCCTATGGTCTCTGTCTTTGCCGTGACTTAATATTGAATCAGATCTGTCACATTGTCAATCAGGCTGGGCCTTCACCTCTCAAGGCTCATAGTCTAAAAAATGAGGGGCCTGAAGACCCAGCGTCATCCTCCGTTGGCACACTGAATACCAGTAACCGTAGAACCAGCTGGCTATGTAGGAAGATGTTAATACTGACATGTGTGTGCATACACTGCACTATATTGAAGGTGCAGAAAGATGGACACCTTCCCTTTCAACACCAGCTCTCATTTACACCAAGTCTAACCATCAGGAAACGATGGCAGAGTCAGGGTCTGTTATCTCATATAGAACACGACTAAGTCCAACCTAAAAATTCGTCTCCTACCATCCCATGCCAACTGCTGTCTAGAAGTCTACTGATATTGTGTGGTAAACAGAGAAATGGGCAAATGTTGCTTAAAACTACCCAGATTGTTGCTGCAAAACACTTTAAACTTGGATGATATGGAACTGTAGACAAGATCAACACATTCTCTTTCATAGAAATCAAACTAAAAATGCAAGGCTTTAAAAAATCATTATGGCGAAATCAAGGGACATTAGTAAAAATGACTGCTTTAAATTTTTTTAATTGATACTGCACATTGTCCCCAAAGCCACTTCTTAAAATCAGAATTCCTAAGTGAGAACATGGACCAGTTAGAGTCTGAAAGGTCACTCTGTGCGGTTATGCCCCAGAGGCCAACTTACAGTCATGATGAGTCCTTTCTCCTGGAAGTATTTCACCAGCGGGGCAGCGTTCTGCTTGAAGTTTACCAGTCTCCTCTGGGTGGCTTTCAGATTGTCATCAGGCCGTCCCTGTTGCTCTGCACGCTTCACTAATCTCTCTCTGAGCCTCTGGTTGGCACAAGCCAGGAACACCACCAGGTCAGGGGTGCAGATCTGTGGGGAGCACAACAGGTAGACAGGTGTTTAAGGTGCCAGGCAACAGCCACGGACAGCAGCACAACCCTCCAGTGGCTCCGCTGCAGTGGCCGCGTCCTTGGCTCTTCATGCCTTTTCCATCGTATTTCCCGAGCTGCTATCCATACAAGGTCAGGGCTACCTAGTCCCATTGCAGTCCTTGTAAATAACGGCCAACCCCATGTGGCAGTATGCGGTGGCCCTTTATGCTTCAGAAAACATCTTTTCTGTCTACGCTCACATAAGTTTTCAGGTTGAATAAAGAGCAATGCAGCCTGCACTTTGTTAGAGCATACACCACTTGATTTTGGAGGAGAGATAATCACCAGGCCACAGCTGTCTGCAGCAAATCCACGCTTCCTCTGTCACCACTGTCTGCTCGTTTTAAAGCTGGCTACCATATGCTAAAGGCCAGTGCTGAACTATTTCCTCATATTATGACTAAGCTTGATAGCATTCTACGAGGTAATAAACATCAAGTCTGTTTCACACATGAGCAGAACAAGGCGTTGAGAACCCGAACTGCTTTGAGTTCACACTGTCACTAAGGTCAAAGTTGAATCTGGGGCTGCCTGGTCTGTACCCTCTTCCTTTCCCTGCCACACAGCGCCGGGCAGTCAGAGTCCTTCCTGAAATACCGTGTTTTTATGTAACCGAGAACTGGTGTGTTTAAAAGGTATCATGACGAGGAAGGGAATGCAATACACTGCCGAGCACCGGAAGAAGTTAAAGGTCGTGGTTTAAAGTAAGAGTCTCCAATTTAAAAAACAGTGCTTCTGTGGCCTGTGAGGTGGCTCAGTGGTAAAGGCATTTATCAGCATGGCTGACAACCTAAATTTGGTCCCCAGGACCCATATGGTGGAAAGACAAAAGCACCTCCCAAGTTCCCCTCTGGCCTCCTCATGCATGCCATGGTACTAAAGCACGTGCGCGCGCGCACACACACACACACACACACACACACACACACACACACAGACAACATAAAATAAGATTCTTAAGGGAGAAAAAGAGAATTGACTTGGAAGGCTGGAAGGATTTGTGTCAGGACCAAACAGGGCAGAGAGCTGAACCTCCAGGCATTCGTATCCTCGTTTGCTAATGTGGATGTGTGAACTGATGTCTGTGTATTATCCTGAGGACTACATACATAAAAGAAAGTGGCCAGGACAAACTCAAGACACTTCAGCCATGCTCCCTAGCTCTCGATTTCCCTTATTCAGTGTAATTCTGGGTCTCTTCCGACATAATTTTTAAATGCTGTTGTTTCCCCCCTATAATTTTTCCTCTTCGACCTCCTGGGAGGGTTGTTTTCCAAGTCTTCAATCATGTTGTTCCTCTCTCTAGGCTTGCTTTCTTGCAGCGGCTTTCCTGTTTGGCTTTTATCTGCACCCTGCATTGGTTCCAAATACATGCTTTTTCCGCTGACTCTCAACAGCCCTGGGTCCTGTGTTTGCAAACGTTTTTGTCACAGTCCTTTTCGGAAGTCTTGATGCTGCTTGTGACTCAGCAAAGTCCACAGTTGATCTTAGGACCTTTTCACCTAAACCAAATCACAGTAAACTCTTTCTCTTCCCTCCCTTCCTCCCTTCCCCCATCTCTTCCTCCCTCCCTCTCTCCCTCCCCCTTCCTCTCTCCCTCCCTCCTCTTTCTCCCTCCTCACCCTCCCTTTCCCCTTCCCCCTCCCTTCCCACCTCTCCCCTCCCTCCTTCTCTCTCTTCTTCTGGTAGCAATGCTCCTTTCTTACATCTCTGATCTAGAAGCCCTAAGGTCTTGGTGTCCTTTTAGCCCGCATGGAACTCCAGGCTATCCCAGGGATCGCCACACCTATTGGTTTGTCCTCAGCGGTCCTCCGCCTCCCTCCCTCCAGGGCCCCAGCCTTTAATCACAGCTGCACAGGGAAAGGGACTGATAGCAGCATCCAGAATGAGGCTGTCTTGAGTTTCCAACCAGAATCTGCCACCTGGCAGGCGTTTGTCCTTTGGCAAACTTCAGTCCTCCTGAGCCCATTTTCTTAAATAAGAGGGAGATTTCCAACACAGTACTTTAGAAACAAAAGAAAGGAATAAAAACACAAACCATGTGTGGCTGGGGTGATGGCTCCATCAGTAAGGTGCTTACCATGCAAGCGTGTGGACCTGGGTTCAGATGCCCAGAACCCGTGTGGGAAGCCAGGCATTGAGTGTGGCATTGATCTTAGGGTTGAGGAAACAGTGGTCCCTGGAGCTCCCTAGCCAGCCAGCCAGCCAGCTGAGTCAGTGAGCTCAGGGCCAGTGAGAGACTCTGCCTCAAAAACAGAAAGAAGCTGGAGAGAACCACGGAAGACCTTTGATGAGGTTGACCTCTGGTTTCCACACATATGTGCACACGTGCATGCACACCACCTCCACATGCAGACATATAGGAACATACACATACATATACCATTGACATACACAGATAAATAACCTTAAAAATTTAGAAGATCACTTGTACTTTTTATGACATACAATCAGGAGATTACTTGAAGCTAAAACTATACTTTTCTAAAATACTATACTATAAAATTTGTATTTATTATTGTATATAATATTCATTATAGGACATAATAAAGGACACATTTAAAATAACTTTAAATAAATTATGTAATGAATATGGCAATTATTGACAAACAAATTAAACTATTTGGTTTGATAACACTACATATTAAAATACAGGGGGGAAAAACCCAACCTTGAAGTACCAGGTCAGTATTGGATGCAAGTAAAAACATCTTGTAGTTTTAAGTCCTAGGACTGGACACCTGTTCAAATCACCTGGTTGGTTCTAGTGTGTTTTGTGTTGTGTTCCACATGCAGGGAAGACACTTCCTTCTGTGTAACACAGCAAGGTCATAAGCAGTTTTACATGTTACATCTTCGCTTACGGTTGGCTTCTTATACCAGAGACAGTTTCAGATTCATATCTTACACTTTCAATAAAATCGCGCTTGTTAAGCTGGTATTTAAATTAGTAGAGTTTTTAAATAGCCATTTTAGAGTTATTGAAAAATGGAGTAACATATATAAAATTTCTTCTCACGAATGGAAGTCCAGTGTGGAGAAAAATAGCCTTGAAGTGAAATTGTAAAATGACTTAATTTTATAACTGGGATTAGTCTGCTGTCTTTCCTTGGTACAAACTGAGAAGCACACGACTGTGAATTCAAAACAAAACAAAAGTCCAAGCACAGAACGGTGAGAACCAGCACAGCAGCTTGAGAAGTAAGAACCTGAGCCAGCTGCGGGTGGGTGGCCACCCTCCGTGCCAAGGCCCTTCCCTTGCTTGGGCCTCACAGTCTTTGATCCCAGCACTCAGGAGGCAGAGGCAGGCAGATCTCTGTAAGTTCAAGGCCAGGCTGGTCTACAGGGTGAGTTCTAGGGCAGCCAGGGCTACGCAGTGAAATCCTGTCTTGAAAAATCAGCAGACACCATTGTGTGGAAGGGGAGTAGGAGCTGTAAAAGCTTGTCAAAAGCGCTGTAAGGAAGGAGCCCATTGCAGAGGAAGACTGGAGACCCTCCAAATACAAACAGGAGGGGCGGAAAGGACCGCAGAAGACCATACATGGGCGGCAGCAGGGCTCTGGGGCTCTTTCCTCGGCTTGATTGACAGCCCACCTCATCCAGTTCCTTTTGCTTTCTTAACAAGCTGTGTGTTTCTGTCCCATGTCTAACTCAAAAGGTGTGACTCTCCCTCCACTGACCTTCCCAGTGGCTGCTAGGATTGTCAGCTAACCTGTACTATGGTTTCCTGTAACATCTAATAAAATCATCCTTGAACTTCAGAAGAAGAATTCATCAAGTTGGCTTGAGACACACAGGGGAGAGCAGTATCCCCAAACAGAACGGACCATGCAGTCCGCGGCACACCTTTCCTTGGCCCTTCTTCTCAGAAAATATGAGCTGAAGGAATGAATGAGCATCCAGATCCAAAATACATGAGCACGAAAACAGGGACACCACTTTCGTCTACGTGGCAGTACAATCTGAAACAGTCGATATTGTTTCCCCACTGAATCAAGTCAGCGAGTCCTTTCCCAGCATCCCATGGGTAATTATTCAGTCTCCTTCTCTCCATTTTAAGCCCTTAATTCTGTTCAGAGGAATCAGCCTTTGTATAAGCAAGGACACGGTCACAGTGTCGGCTCAAAGGGAGTTTGTTTTGAAAACTCTCTGCTCTTAGCCAGCAGTCACTCTCTGCCCTGTTCTTTATGACGCTGTGGTAGGAGACCTGAGACTTCTAATTGGATCAACTACACCGTCAGAAATCAGGAAGCGAAATACTAAAGCAAAAGGACAATTAGAGTTGGAATAAAAACCGGAGTCACATAACTAAAAGACAGAAAAAGCATGGAGGTTCTCTAGCCTGAGTTAACCCCAAACCTGTAAACATCTGCACTCTGGTGGCAAATGGCTTTAAAACTGGAACATTCAGTTCTCTGCCCCAGCACTGCCTGTTCCTGGTTCTGACGACTAAGGGGTGGACCTGGGGGCTGTCCCTGAGGACTTCTGCTAACACTGGGCTTCTGTTTGCCTCCCCACCCTACCTAATGGTTTCTTTCACACATTAACCATTCACCAGGCGAAACCTCTGTGGTGCTCCACAGGGTCTGGGCTAGGTCACTATGAAAGGAAATCTGATGGATAACTGGACTTTATCATCTATTACAATTTTATTTTCTTTTTAAATTTTGTGCATATGTTTACCTCTGAATGTGGGTTTGAGCATACTAAATGCAAATGCCCTGTGCAAGAGCAACAAGTACCCTTCATTGTGGAGCCATCTCTTCGGGGTGTAACTTCATCGCGTACGTGAGCGATATGATATGGAGATCATTTCTGAGCAGCTTTCAGCAGACTTCGGGGCGGGGGAACAACCCTGGTAGCATGACTCACCCGTACTAGTTAAACAGCAGCTGCTACGAAAGTCATTTCAGTGTCCAGGTCTTTTAAAAGTCTAGT